TGTTTTTTTGACTTTTTCGTGCGACATTTTAAATTTACACATCCCCGATTAGAAGTCCTTTTAGAATTCTAATTTAACTATTAATAAAGGGATTTATTATTATTATTATTTTTGAAAAAAACAGTATTTTTTTTGTGTTATGTATTGTTTTATGATCCTTTTTTATATAAATAATAAAGTTGTGTTTTTGTAAATTAATAAATACTGTTTAACTGTTACTTAATTTGACTTTTTCCGTAGAAAATTTTCATAAAATAGCAACAATATGAATTTTCATGAAACAGTTTTCGTCATAAAAAATCAATAATTTAAGTCTCTTAAACGTGACCTATTTTTGCAAAGTTTACATTCGTTTGAAGCAATTCAGAAATACAGTTGTTTGTCATGAACGATTTTATTACTCAATTGAGATTTTCCATGTTACTAAACCCAAACCAATAAATCAAAAAAAAAAATAAAAAATCTGTATTTTAAACACTCAAAACAAGGTGAGAAAAATCAAGCTCAAATTCTCCCTTATTAAATCCCTAACTTTGCCTTAAAACGCGTCATTTAAACTTGTAAAAGTGCTTTTTAAATTCATAAAAGTTTGTCTACCGACCATTTTAAGCTCCTTCTTCATTTCTCTGGTGATATCAATGGACTTTTTATGAACCTTCTTGACGGCGAAAACTCGTCCTTTGTAAATCCCAATCTGCGTAAAAATCGTCGAATACCGAAAATCAGCATCAGGATTAGAACTCAACGATACTTGACTCGTCCTTATCAGCGGATGAATCGACTAAAAATAATTGAAATAAAACCACCACCACCTCGAATCCTCTCTTTCAGACTCACTCGGGTTATTTTCGTTCCGGCTTCTTCATTGATTTGGATGTCTTTGAAATCGACTTTCCACAGCAGACTATCAAGTTCCTGTTCGTATTTCCAGTTCCGGTAAAGCACTAAGGAGATCACGAGGATCACCAGGAAGATTCCGCCGGTGACGCCGCTCGTTATCTCCATAGTGTGAGCTTTATTTCAATTAATTACACATTTTTTGAATTATTAAAATCTGTTTTTTTTTAAACGGAAATGTCAAATTTAATGTTGGCACCACTGGCGAATTATCATTAAAAGAAATTTTGATAAAGGAGGTTGGTAGTCCCGGTTTGCCAAGTCTGGTAAAATTTCACCAGATCTGGTGACTTTTTTAAAAATGAAAAAAAAAAACGTTGTAAATGCGATTACAACAAAACAGTAATTTACTAAATTTTTAATTATTGGTGTAGTAAATTAAATTAAATATAAATGAGACTATTTTTGCATCTCTTACGAGCGTTCTCCACGTTTTTCAATCAGAAACTCAGTTATTTCGACAAATTTTCTGAAAAAAATCGAAAAACGCAAAATTTCGTTAAAAAAAGCCAAAAATTGTGTTTGAAATATAATAAAAAAAAGAAATTGTTTAAACAGGCTAAAAAATTATTTTTTAGTTTGTTTCAATCGACAACTTGAATTAATTTTGCAAAAATCTTGTCCAAACACGACTAAAAACCACAAAAATAAACTGAAATTGATGTTATTTTGTTTGTTTCACTTGATTTAATCTTGAACAAAATTGAAAGAAACAAAATTTGGTGGAAAAAGCTTTTAAGCATATTTTTGTATTAAAAAAATTTAAGGTTTTTTCGCTAAACCAAACCAAAAAATCAACAAATTAAATCGAAATATTATTTTTCTATTTTTAGAGCGTTTTTTAGCTACAAACGCAAAATTTTCTTAAAAACAAGCCATAATTGGACCGAAAATAATGTCATTTTTGTCTTTGTCAAAATTTAATCAGATTTTTAAGCTGAAAACTCTATTTTTTGCGAAATTTTGGCTAGAGAGTTTTAAAAATCGATAAATCGTAATAAAAAAAGATTATCTATATTTTAACATAACTTTTAAGATTTCACTTAATTATTTCGTCAAAAAAATAAAAAAAAACACCAAATTGATCATAAATAGTTCATTTACTTCATTTGTTTTTTTACAAAATTTTATTAAACAGGCGTTTTGGTAGGTTAATTTTTACAATTATTTTACAAAATTTTGTTAAAAACAAAATAAAAATTTAACAAAATAAGTCAAAAGTAGCGTTATTTTTGCCATTTTCGAGTGTTTTAGCACTTTTTTTACCTAAAAAAAACAATTATTTCGCAAAGTTTTCTTAAAAACAGGGTAGAATTAGACCAAAAATTATGTAATTTTTGCCTTTTTCAGTTCAAGCAGATTTTCTTAAGCTGAAAACTGTTTTTTTTTCGCGAGATTTTGCTAAAGCGATTCAAAAATCAATTGTTATAAAAAAAGATTATGTTTTTACCTATCTCTTAGGTTTTAATTTAATTATTTCATCATTTTCTTAAAAATCAAAAATGATGTAAATATTTATTTTTGCCTTTTTCGAAATTATTTCGCAAAATTTTGTTTAAAACAAGCCAAAAATGGTGTTATTATTGCGTTTTGAAATAAAAAAAATCGAGAAATTTTGACAAAAAAATTACAAAATCAACTCGAATTTGATATTTTTAGCTCATTAATTTTGTAAAGTCTAAAAATCGCAAAAAAATTAATATTGATGACATGTTCACTCGATTTGACTAGTTTTTGAATAAAATTAAAACAAAAATACGCTGAAAAATTCAAAATTTTATCGGAAACTCTTTTAAACACATTTTAGTGGTAAAGTCTCAAGTTTTTTTCGCAAGATTTCGCTAAAACAAACCAAAAAATGAAGAAATTAAATCGAAGTTGATATTATTTTTGCACTTTTGCACTCCAGCGTTTTAGCACATTTTTGAGCTAGGAACCCAATTATTTCACAAAATTTTCTTAAAAGCTG